CTTCCTCGATCCCATGCGCGACGGTTGTGAAGCCGTGGCCTTGTAGCAGAACGACAGCGTGATCGGGTTCCATCTTTGGCTCTGCAGATGAACCACCGAGCTGCGAGGGTAGAGCGGAGCGTACTTTGGAGTAGATGAAGCCGGTCGACGTGGCTGGTTTGAACGCAGCTGCAAGAGAGGCGCCGAGCGTGCTGTCGCGAACGAGCAGATCGTGCTTCGAACCGGAGGGGTAGCTGTTCGAGGCATCCCAGACTGGCACATTGGTACCTGCAGTGATATTGTCAGCAAGAAGCTAGGCATAATGGTCCAGGATACATGCCCAAGAAGCCAGCCATGTATATTGTGTTCTTTAGAGGCACACCACTAACGCAGTACGGCAGAACATCGCCGGCATGGCTATGCACCACACTGTTGATGGCCGGAAACCTCTTGTATATCTCGCTGTGGATGTGTCGCTCTAGATAACCTGGTTTCGCGTCCTTCTCGACCGCTTCGGCGCCATCGACGTTGTATTCGACCAGATCGTCTTGCGAGCTGACCAACGCTGGCGGCATATTGCAAGGCATCCAGAACGTCGCGGGATTGTCGGGCGACCGGACAGAGATATGGCCATAAGCATCGAAGATGCCTGAAGAGGTGGACGCGTGAAGTTAGTGTATGTTTCACGTGCACTCCAGACACCAGAACTTACCATTGTGGTCGAGGATGTGACAGGCAGTGACTAGGCCTTTGAAAAGGTCCTCAAGACCAACCTTCTCTCGTTTTGGAAAGTATCCGGCAGACATATCGCAAAGATGTAGATAGTGTGTACGGCATCGTGGAGGGCGGAACGCATATGTTGTGTAGTGGTACTGTTCTTGCTTCAAGCGCTCGATGACGTGCGGGCGCGCATGTGTGGGGGAAACGACTGGCGGGGATACACCGTTTCTTGGCAATGACCAGCCTCCGACCGTCCAGCCACACTCAGCATTCACAACATCGTTTAATCATCGCGCCTTAGCTACTAACTTCGAGACCCGCTACCGTAAGTCTGAAGAGATGCTTAAGCCTTGGAAGTGGAAGATGAAAACGGTCATTGATCGACCCCGTTGATGTGCGCCAGGTTGCGGCCACCACACGTCCCATGGCCGAGCTGACATAGTATCGTCCAAACAGTGCTTGATGCGACTCTTCGTCCAAATAATGAGAGATCCCAGAGGGTAACACTGTCTACCTTCTGCACTCCGAGCCGAGCAAGAAAAACCATGGCTACCAATACTCACGATGTCACTTACCTGATAGGATTGATCGAGGTGCTCTTTCTCTACAAAAGACTAGCTTACCCTTACTCACGTCCTTCGTGAAGGCCGCCATATACTCATGAGCCGCTTCCCTATGACATGAGCATCATACCTTTCCGTATTCATCCTACCTGGTTTCGCAACTTCTGCACTTCCTGCTGCCAACACGATCAACATTATCAACCCGACCTTTATCAATACCCTCCGCTCGCAAACCAGCGGTTATCAACCCTTCCAAGACCTACGACCAACATGCGCGTCACCGTAGCGTTTCCGGGGGTTCGATTCTGGTTATACAAGTTGGAAGGCAAGCTCATCTGCACGCATTACATGCCGGACCAGCCACCACGACAATTCACGATATCCAAAGTTGAGAACGATCAAGTAGAAGAGATGGAAGAAGGGAATCACCCACAGGAAATAGTAGACCTTGGAGGAAAGCGGAAGGTATTCTCGACAAGCTTCGGGGAAGAGCTCTCCATCGTCCTGATGAACCTACGTGGAACGCTGGACATGGAGTATCATTATGACGAGCGGGGTTTCCAAGAAGTCATATTAAAAGGGTTTGGCCCTTGGCCGTCCGCAAATGCCATAACGCAACCAGTCATTCAACACGCTTAACCTACGAACACGCCTGTTGTCGACAACGAGATGCTCTAACTTCAAATTCTCATGCTCCACCGGAAGTTCCCAAACACGCACAAAAGACACTCTCAGACGCACAACGGGCCTCAGCCAAGACACAGGTCGCTCCGCCAGATGAACAGCAGGACCTGCTAGATACAAAAGAAACGCCGACGAACACGCCCGTAACTCCGCCAGACATAATCGAGTCCGTATCAGGCTCACAAAAGCCTTTGCTAGACATAAACGCATTCGACGCGCCTTGGATCTATTACTTGGAAAAGAATTTCTCGTAACCGACGCCTCGAAGACGAACACGGCCACTGAGAGCTGTCCCAGGCTCTGAGTCAGTCGGTCGTAGCGCAGGCATCAGGAGCTCGCGAGGGCTTCGACCTGGTCAAGTAAGCATCTACATTCGCGATACTCAGGGGGCGCGGATTGAAGCCATTCTTGTCAATTGCGATTGATAGTGGAGACTACAATACATTTATTGTTTGCATGCTCGTCCAGCCAACGAAGTGCCGGATCGACCTCCTCTCCTACAAACTGATATACAGTTCGTTTGTTTTGTGTACTGTTGATGTGTCTATGCGATATGCAAACGCCGTGTTTCACCACGAGCGCGCAATATAGATAGTTCGATGTGCCGGAGGTGTCTGTCCAATTATTTGGGGCTGCTCTTTCGTCCGTTTCCTTTTTTCCAAACCGGAACCCAAGGGAGTTCTCAGCCCGCGTCCTACGATGGTCTTGAATATCCATACCTCGAACGCCTGTTACGGTCGTTGTAGTACCCCGGCGGTATTGTATTTCCTTAGCTTTCTGAGCCGTTCTTGACTCTAATTCCACGCCTCCGTATGTGTCGATAACACATCCTGACCGCTACCCATGTTCGCCGCGGCTTCCTGGGTTCGCTGTTTGTGTCGTTGTATTCTCCTCGTCAGCCCATGTCCACATCGCCGTCTGCCTCCCCCATGCCATCCACAAGATCGCTTTCGCCACTCTCGCCGCTTGTTTCCTCGCTATCGCTGTCTTCGTCCACAATCTTGCCTTCCACCTCACACTTTCGCGCAAAGCAGCTGCCACTCTTTTCGTCCTTGCCACCAACCCCTATCCCAATGTATAATCCCTTCTTCACCTCCTCGATGATCTTGTCAAGATCGACCGCACACTCGCCGTCGTTCTCGTAGATGATCTTCTTGGCTCGGCTGTTGGCTGCCGCTTTTGTGGAATGCACAGACGTGATGTGCGTGGTACCGACGTTGTTCTGAAAGCTATCGGCCGTGGGGTAGCAGGTATCGGTCACGATGTAGATTCTGTAGGGACCGGAGTGGGAGGCATTGACCATGTTGGCCATGGGTGGGTTGGGTTGTTCGATGCTTTGCTGGATGTAGGAATCGCCGTCGTGAACTTTGTTGTTGTTGTCGTTGTAGTACGACCGTTGAGTGGGTGTAGGTCCATCTTTGCTGCGCGCGCAGTTGGCACACATGTGGTTGCCATCGGCCATGTGGGCGCTGTGCGAGTCAGGCGCCATTGCAGACGACAAGACGCCTGGTAGCAGAATAGGAACGCGGCGCAACAATGATCGCAGTACAATTAAAAGACAAGGGAGCAAAATTCAAGCCGCGAAAAGAAAAGAAAAGAAGAGGAGGAGACGAACAGTCTCTCCCCAGAAAGAAACGCAGACACCAAAGTCGAGGGATGGAAAAGAGGGTTTCACGATGTCGTGAACATGGGAATCTGGCGCAAGTGAGAGGGGTATCTGGAAAAACGCGATGCGCGGCTAGACCGCATTGTTAATTTATAACCCTCACTGGTATGTCGTTTGTGTGTGAGTGTCTCGCTCCGCGGAGGCCAGTACGGCGAGGAGGAAGGCTTCTTTTTTAGCTCAACGCAAGTGGCGAACATTCCCACAAAGAGCGACATGAAGCTCGCGACACTTCCTCTGGTTTGCCACCAAGGCAAGCAGGGAAGAACTTGGGGGTCTTACGCGTATTACTGCCGAACCCTAGCCACAGCACTTCATGCCCAAAAGTCATGTTCCAGAAAATTCCTTTTTTTCTCCAAAGGTGATCTGTCGGCGAATTAGTAGTCAAAATGTCGTTGATCTGTGTCAAATAGGGTGTTGGTTCTGGTGGTCAGGCGGAGATCATGGACAGATTACATGACTTGTAGTAACTTTGCCCGAGCTGCTGCGTGACACATGCCCGACTTCGCCGCCGGGTGCAAGGAGTGGGGTTTCCTAACATTGCGAGGCCCGAAAAAAAGAAGAAGCTCCTGGCATGTGCAAGTAATACCTAGAAGCGATCGGCCACACGTTAGATCTAGAGCGTCCCCAGTTTGACCCTTGCTGCTAACGTATTCCAGCCCACTGTGGTCCCCTGTGGTCCCCTGTGGTCCCTGGACTCAAGACTGCGGCAAAAAGTTCCGATGACGAATCACAAGTCTTGGACGTAATCCTAGTGCGATGGAGCATATCCCGGGATCAGATGCTAGTCTGTGAAGTTGCTCAAGGATACCCGCTCCCTGCATCTTGCACCGCGCCATCCGATCGCGGGAGAGCTGTCTAGCGGTTCATCCGGTAGATCGGATGAGATGAATTAGCCTGAGGCTGAGGGTCCTCGAGCCCGGGACGACAAGGCTTAGTCTGCAACTCATTGTCACTAGCTTATCGTGTCTTCGTTGCCGAGCCGCAAGAGTTACTGCAAACTGACAAGGACCTGTGGAGGTCTAGTGCCTCGCACCGGCCTTGCAAGCCACTGTGTCCTAGGCGCAATGATTTCGACATGTTTCTCGTGCTTGCCAACGTTCTCCTGTCTTCCACACTCATACACAGTGGTCATGCTTGTCTTTATGCATATAGTACAACTCAGTTCCGGAGACAAATACGACGTGAGATGTCAAATTTTCGCAAAACACATTATATGTAATCATACAAGATCCAAGGCAAATGCAATCCACTTTCCATCTGCCGTTACGTGTGTTTGTCGTGTAAGACCGAGCGCCACCAGCTCCGTACGCTGCTAAATGTATCCGTCCCTATGGTACAAAAGAGAGAAATGAGACCATGAAAATGCCATGGGAAGAAGGAAAAAGGATTTACTCATCCTTTTGCGTTGCAGATTGAGCCTCACTTGCTGGCTGAGCATCGTCCTGATGCTGCTCAATGCTCTTCTCCTTCTGCTGATCTTCCACGACCTCGACAGTAGGTGGTGCCTCGCTGGCTTCGGGAGCATTGGCCTGCTCTTGTGTCTCAGGGTTACGGCCTTCGGCGTCTGGGTGGGGAGGTGCGACACCGTTTTCTTCAGCGTCACCATGCGAGTCTACAAGGCCCTCGTAGATCTCGTGGCCTTCGCCATCGACGATACGGGTTCGGGTCTCGTAACGCGTCTTGAAGCTGACCTTTCCAGCAAGTGCTGATACCTCATCGTCATTGAGGATGCGGCCGTTCTCGTCGCGGTACTCGATACGCTCTTCCTTGGAAACAACAGGTAGATCCTTGGGGGCCTCCTGAGGTGGCGGGGAAACTACCGCTTGCTCAGACATCACGTTCTCTCCCTTCGCTTCTTTTGGTTGCTCTGGCTGTTCCTTAGGCTGTTCTTGCTTGACCTCAGGGACGACTTCTGGTGCGACTGGAGCCGGAGGAGCAGGTGCTGCTGATGAAGGCACGGCGATGGATGCTACAGGCTCAGAGTGCATGACGTTGTATGCTTCGTACTACAACTTGTCAGCTGAAATTGGCCAGTCGTGATGCGAAGAGAACTTACAGAGTTTAGAAAGTTGTTGCAATCCCAGTCCCAAGTGTCGAACAGCTTAACGCTCTTGCAAGCATCCTTGGTCCATGCGTTGCCGTATGCTAGGGGAGAGTATACAGTGAAGACTGTGATAGCGACAGCGAGGAAACCGACAGCCGCTGCTTGGCCGATCGCGGGGTATTGCCTCAAACCAAAGACACTGAAGCGGTAGCTCACGAAGTCAAAGATCTGGCAAAGTGCAAGGATGGCAAAGTACAGAGCGGGCAGGTAGTGGTGCAAGAACAGCTGGCGCGCCATCAGGTAGAATGGGAAGTAGTGGAAAGCCCAACCGAGAATGCTCATGCCAACTTCGTAGTCGAAACGTTTGAAGGTGACGTTGTTGTAATCACGGTAGCCGCGCTGCCAACGGAGAATGGCGAAGCCTTTGATAGCGATGTAGAGAGCGATGAGCGCGCTCGAGCTCCACCAGATCACCGGGTTACCCAGAAGATAGATCTGACGATTATGCTTGCCCCAGAAGTTGATACCGCGGCGTAGAATGGGCCACGATGGAGGGCGCGAATCCCAGGCGTGCGATTCAGTAAGGCCAGCGTTGGTCTTCCACATGACCTTCTGCAACTCCCAAAACTTGCCGAAGAATCCGGGGTTGCGGTAGTTGACCTTTTCGACCTCTCCGTCTACCATCAAGGGGTGAACATTGCCCTCGATGTACCAGATGCTGTTGGGCAATGTGCCTTGCCGAGCGCAAGTGACCTCTTGTTGCTCGAAACCCCAGTCAGGGAGCTTCACCTTGTGTGAGAATAGCGCACAACCAGTCATGACATGAACAAGCCTGAACTTGGTCTGGATAGTTCGGACGCGCTTCTTTGCCACGGCTCCATCAGACTTGCTCTTGACAATCTCAATGCGGAACAGATCGTTCGCATCACCCTCAAAGCCTTCGTAACCGTAGGCAGAAACCTCGTTTTGCCAGTCGGCCTCGGTAACAGGAGCACGAACATCGTGCGAGTGGAGGCGTCTGTCGGTGGTGATATGGTAGAGGCGAATGACACCGCCATCTTCAATATAAGTAGGGCCAACGTTGTCCCAAGCTTTGGGGCTTGTGAGGTTTGGGCCAGTGTAGTCTTCAGGCATGATTGGCAGAGTCTGGTTTTCCATGATCCAGATGTTGTTCTCGTCCTTGTGGGGGTAGAGGGTAATCTGTTGCTGCTTGCTACCGGTGGGGTACATGTGGCTGTGAGAATGGAGATATCCGCCTTGAGTGTTCCAGTGGCGTAGAGAGACACGGCTTCCATAAGCGACGTCGGCGGGAACAGCTTGCATGCCCTTGGAGTTCAGTGTCGCCTGGAACTCAGAAGACATGAAGCCGTCACCCTCACCAGGGTTGACCAGGCAGATGAAGTGGATTCCGAACATGGCCATGTAGAACGAGACGGGAATGACGATCAGGCAAAACATGCGAGCGAAGAAGTGCTTGAACCACAGGCGCGGCGTGACGTTCTTGGTATCTCCGAGAAGAACCCAGAGTTGTACCAGTGTCAAGCTACCAACCCAGGCGATGGTGAAGAGGCCGACCCATTTGACACTGACTGTTGCACCGAGTCCGACACCGGTAGCAGCCAACCAAAACCACCAAGATGGCTGGAAGGCCTTGGAGGGTCCTTGTTCGTGCTGGTTCATGAAGCTTGTCCAGGCGAGTGCGGTGACGGCCGTGAAGATGATGAGCGGCGAGTCGAGTAGGATAAGGCGGGACTGGGTGACGAGCGCATTATCTACAAGAAGTCAGTATACATTACACCTCCCAAGAAGTGTTTCTTACCAAAGATGACAAGTCCAGCGCCCAGGGCCGCAGTGGTAGTACGGCAACCCGCGGCCTTGAGGGTGAGGAACATGGTCGGGATCGTCAACACTCCGCAGATAGCGGGCAGCATGCGCATGGTGACATATGGGACCTTGGGCTCCAGATAGTCTTTGCCGATGTCTTTGAAGTCGAAGTTTCCGTCAAATCCACCCAACCATCCTGCCAGTGTAATGAGGAGCTTCGCGAGCGGAGGGTGGACGTCCATGAAGAATCTGCCCTTAATGTATTTCGATGCGAACCCACCGAAGCTGGAATCAGTCAGCCAACATGTCTGTTGAGTTCGTTGTATAGTGACCACACTTACTGAACTTCATCGAAGACAACACTGGTAGGCTGTGAAATCCGGAAGAGTCGAACGCCGGCCGCAATGAAGGTCAAAACGGCCAGCAGTGACCAGTCCGAGCCAGGGAGGTTGAAGATATCGTGGTCCTGCACTCCCTCGGAAGTGTAGCCTTGGACCTTCTGCTGCTGTGTGTTGTGCTGCTTTCGGCCGTTCGGGGCTGGGGAGCGCGACTTGGAACGCGACTTGGAACGCGACTTGGATCTACGAGACTTGGGCTTCTCGCCCAGGTAGGCGTTGGGTGCCGAGAGGCTCGCCATGACGGCGGGATGTGAAGATGTGTCGCGGCTCGATCAGCTGGCGAGTGGAGCGCTGTACCAAAAGGTGGGAACGTTGCGGAGTTCCAGAGTCTACGTTGAAGGCGCTCACGGCCTTGACGTCCTTGCAAAGAGAGTTAAAGAGAGTTGGAAAAGAGTCTCATCAAGGTGAGGGGGGAAGAGATGGAGGTCTCTGTGGTATGCGCAATGGTTCAGGCTAGGGGGAGAGAGTCCCGCGAGGAGCGGTGGTTGCGTACCGATTAATCCTAGTTGCAAGCTGTTCCTTACGACGGCCCTTGCCGAAAATGGGAGAGCTGAAAATAGGTCCAGGTACATAGGGCTAGCATTCACTCCACCCAATTATCTACCAGTTTGGAGAAATCAGATCAGTCCTCCAGCGGCAGTGGTCTGACCTCCGACAGCCGTTTGCAAGCCGAGGCGTCTTGAGTATTACGCCGAGTGCTTCATTTCGAAAGCTGTGGCTTGGTTGTGGCGCAACTGTGGCTGGGGTCCGGCGCGGAACATCTTGTTGCCTACCCTGGAACTTTGCGATCTCCCGCATGTCGACGCCCAGTCGCAGCTACCAACAACCACGTCCACATTCACCCCACGCGATCTACGCGCAAGTCACTCGGAAGTAGGTAATCGCGACGGGAATCTGGTCACTGGCGTTTGAATTTCTTCCCTGTTCTTGCCCCGCGCAATCTGCGAGTACCTCACCTGCTTTTCGCGACTCATATACAGGACTGCCGACGACATCACTCGAAGCCGAGACGTACACCGACCACACGCGCCATGGCGAACCCCAACGGCAATGGCGTCGCCTCGGGATCTGTCGAGCTCGACGTGAAGCCGCCGTCGAACCTGGTCATCCCCCCGCCCAACGTGCGCGAAACGATTGCGAAGACGGCCGACTTCGTTGCCCGCCGAGGCGAATCACACTTCAACGGACTGAAGCAGCGTGTCACTACCGATCCTTCGGCCGCGAACAACCGCAACTTCGTCTTCGTCATGGAAGAAGATCCCTACAACGCCTACTTCCTGTGGTATCTCCAGCAACTGAAGGAGGGTCACGGACGGTCAGTTGGAAGTGCCAAGCAAGTCGTTGACAACAAGCCCAAGGGCCCCCCAGAACCGCCCAGGTTCCGCTTCTCCGCGCGCATGCCAAACATCAGCGCAAAGGACTTGGAGGTGCTGAAGCTCACGGCTCTATACACGGCCCGCGTGGGTGAGAACTGGCTGAAGGATCTGCGCAACCGTGAGTCTGGCAACTTCCAGTTTGACTTTCTCCGACCAAACCACAGCTTCTTCCAGTTCTTCCGATCGCTTGTTGAGCAGTACAAGATCCTACTTGAGGAAGAGGCGACAGTCGAGGCGCGTATCCAGGAGCTACAACAGAACATCAAGAACCGGTTCCATGTGCTAGATCGTGCCAAGGGACGTGCGGAGTACGTCAAGTACGTGACCGCCCAAAAAGAGAAAGAGGAAAAGAAGGTCGAGGCTGAGAAGCAAGAGTATGCGACTGTGGACTGGCACGACTTCACTGTCATCGCGACTGTGCTCTTTGACGAGGCTGACGATGCAGCGGACCTGCCTCCACCGGCACAGCTGAACGATTTGCAGTCGCAGTCGCTCGAGCAAAAGGCAGCCGTCTCACTTTCGACAAGGCGTCTCGAGGAGGCCATGCCCGACGAGATGACTTACTACAACGTCACACAGCAGCAGGTACCCCCATCTCAGATGCCGCCAAACTACGCTCCCGCAGCGCCGTCCGTGCAGCCACCGTACGGTGTGCCGTCATACGCGCCTCCGCCTATGCCTGACTACCGAACGCCGGCACAGATATCGCGCGAGGAAGAGCAAGCTCGGCTGGCAAGAGAGCGCCAAGCGGAGAGCGAGCAGCGCGCACGCGCTCAGGCTGCTGCCAGAGGAGCACCTGGTCGCATTGTCACAGACTACGTTCCCCGTGCTGCCGCAAAGAAGGCAAACGTTCAAATGGCCGTGTGCCCTAACTGCAAGCAGCAAGTTCCCGCGAACGAGATGGATGAGCACATCAGAAGTAAGCCGACCCCATTCCTGTCCCTCAGAAGATCATCGCTAACACTGTATTCTAGTCGAACTGCTTGATCCGCGCTGGAAAGAACAGCGCGACAAGGCCGAAGCCCGATACTCTACAACCATCAACACCGCCGACGTCGCGAACAACCTCAAACGCTTTGCTAGTCAACGTGAGGATATCTACGATGGCGCTACTGGATTGCCGATATCTGCAGAGGAAGAAGCTCGGAGGAAGAAGGCTGCACTGTCGTACGATGGTCAGCTTGATCCTGCCAAAAATACTGCTCGTGTAGAGCAGATGCGGGACGTGAACGTCCAGGAGCAACTCCGCAAGATCCAAGAGAAGCACCGCCAAAAGTAGGCTTACGAGTAGGTCTTGCTTTCTTTCTCCAGACATCACACAGTCGCTTGAGATGATGATGGCTTTATTTGCATTGGGAGGCGTTTGTGCGAAGTCACTTGGGTATACCACTTTCATGGAGACCCGGAGCCGCAAGGCTTCCATTGATTCCAGTAGTTCTGGGACACTAGTTACTTGTAAAATATTAGTTCGTCAGGCAGAATGAAAAATGTGCGTTCAGCGCTCAATCTCCTGTTCGACGCAGACTATTGTGGCGATGCAGCGTGGGGTAGGCTGCGGCAATCTGTATGCTCGGACTTTCGTAGCTTTCCTCCGACCTGCCCAAGACCTATGACCTAACCAGCGACTTTTATTCCCAAGTGCACCACTACCCTCCACGTTCCTCTGTACAACCCGCGACCATGTCATTAGCACAGGCAACGAAAGGCGACATGGCCTACCAAGTACGCTCACTCGTACGTATCCTCCTTGCGGTTTTTCCGGACATCCGTTGCAGCCTACACTCATGGTGTCGCCGCCCTAGTGTCGCAATCCACACACCTACTCTGTAACTCTGCGTTTGAGATACACAGGCTTTTAGCGCGCTTATTTCTCATGGACTATGGAAGAACACTGGCTGACCTCCGCACGTAGTACCGCTCCCTGCTGCGCCAAAGCGGGCAATTCGCCGCCTACAATTTCCGCGAGTATGCCAAACGGAGAACGCGCGATGCGTTCCGAGACAGCAAGAACATAACCGAGGAGCGGACAATACAGGAGTTGGTGCAGAAGGGCTTGAATGAATTGCAGATGCTAAAGGTGAGATATATACCCTGTGGTTCGGCAATGGAAGTGGAGGTTCGCAGTGCGCAGCGGAAGGAGTGGCAGAGACGAGCAAGTCGCGCCCTGGAGAGCCATTCGGCGATGTATGCTTTTGAGTGTGCCGCTGCAAGAAGCTCGGAACATGAAGTCGAGGTTGGATGCACAGGACTGAATGCTGACTCATTCCGCAGAGGCAAACGGTGATCAGCCAATTCTACCAGATCGACCGATTGGTCGTCGAAGGTGGAAGAGAGGGCAAGCAAAAAGGGGATAGAAGTGACATTGTCAGAGTGAAGGACCAGGGCTGGGATTGAGTGCCTCGCTCAAGAGAGCGGGTATGGACGACGAGACGAAATGATCTTGTAACACTATGGCGTACATTGCATGGAGAGGCGAGAGCCTGTACGACAGCGGAGGAGCTGCGTATACCTCAACAGCGATGATACGTTGAGAATGATGTACTGTATTATATTGAGCCTGCTCAACTCTTTGAAATGGAGTTCAGACTGAAAATATGTCACCTCGTTGCACGTATCGGCAATACCCATGACTGTATGAGATCTCTGAATTGCCTGCAATGCCTGAAAGCATACATTCACCATCGATAATAGTCGGTCCGATATGGATCAATCTCTCTGGCGAGGCCCAGGCCCATGGTAATTCCAATCACGCGTCGCTGGACTCACAGTTCCGTTGATGCTTTTCTTCCTGCGTGGCATCGTCTGAAATACAGAAGTTGTAAGTGGTTCCATACTGCGCTCCCTCGCAAAACCAGCGAATGGCGACCAGAATTGGTCTTGGCCAAGTAAGAGAGTATGGTGTGATTAGAACTACCACGTATCTGGTACGACGATCGACGCAAGAAGATCAAATAGGAGGTCTGTTACTTGCGTCTCAAGCCCTAGGCCGGTGCTCAGCCCCGGAGTCGCGAACGCACTCGAAGGGGTATAGCGGCGCACGGTTGCGCCTGCCATCTGCAAAGCGACGCGCCTCCCCTTCACGCATCGCGACTTCCCGTTGCATTGCGCCGACATCAATACCCACTTTCACCGCCTGCCCTAAAGCCCATCGAGGGCATCGCATGTTACTATGGCTCCGGTACGTCATCCCATCTCCTTGTTCGAGCATGCGTCCTTGAGCTGCGTCTGCGACATCAATTCCCAGCCTCTGCACGCGCGCGACGCAACACCGCTATTTCTATCACGTGCATCGCATTTTTGATATTCCATCGGCTGTCACCGACGCGCCATTATCTCTTGGAAAACCGAGCGATCAGAGAGTAATCTCTAGATTCGCTTGCTTTAACGAGTGGTGATGAGCAGCTCTTCTGTACCTGCACCTCTCGCGCGACGACGCAGCCATGGCATCGCATCTTGTCCGGACAGCGTCCAAACGTTCACATATCTCTTCTAGACTTGAGCTGACATGATGTAACTAGTTTCGAAACAGGGATCGGTCCAACAGGTCAGGACGCGGCCAGATAGAGCACAATGTACTGGAAGGATTGCCCATTAGTCAGTATCGGGAAGCCGAAATCACGATTGAACCAAACTCGGCCGACAACAAACCTTTGGACAAGGATGCTTGGCCCGAGCTGCCCATGCCTCGAGATTCTCACATGTTGCCTGAGCATTCTCAGCAATTGCTGCGAGCAGCACGCTCCGGGAAGTTGTACAAACCACCGGCCCCTCCAGAAGACGACAACGAGATGAAAGATGAGGAAGAAGAGACTAAAGAGATCCGTACCGGCTTCACTATCAAGAAGTACGTCAAAGTTGCACGG